TTAGAAAGGACCTTCTTACATTTTGAGAGCCCTGTGTCTCTGAAGAACTTTTAAAAGGGGTGGATTCTTTCCCCCATACACGTCCACATACACAGATGGACAGTTACACTTAAAATTCTGAGGCATTGAGGACTAATTTTGTTTCTCAAGAAAAAAACACAGAAGAATGCAACCATAATAAATATTAATAAGCAAAGTATGAAACACTTATTTTTCTGCAAGGGACATTTTTCCCAGTTACTCTGAGAGATAGATCATAACACACTGGGACGTCAGAGTTCACCCCCTTTTCCTGTCACGGGTCCTTGGCCTCTTCTCAAACACCTAGTGATGGTGGAGAGCCCATCTCATCTTTCCATGGCTTTCCCAGAAAGCTATCTTATGTGGAGTCAAAACTGGTTTCTCTAGAACCACTATTCATGATCTTCATTCTGACCTTTGGGGCCATGAGAACAAAGTCTGTTCTTCTGTAATCACAAGTCTAAAGCTGAGATGCTTTAAAAAGTTCTATCTGCCCAGGCCCTCCTAGAGATTCTGATTTAAGAGGGCCAGGAGGGTCTAGGAGTCTGTATTTGGAGGTAGGCCTCCAGGTGATGATTTCTTTCATCACCACTGAGAATTATTTTTCATGATATTTGAAGCCCTAAAGGCTTCTTCTAGCTCAGGATAACCGTGAAACTTTGCTACCGCAGAACATCTCCCAGCCTTCCTGTAGCTGATCTGCTACTGGAAGCGAGGTGTGGGGAGTGGGTGGTAGAGGACCCGTCCTGACCCGCTTCTGCTTCTCTGCAGGAAGTTGGAGCTGCCACTTGTGTCTGGACCTGTTGAAGGAGAAAGCTTCCATCTACCAGAACCAGAACTCCTCTTGATGTGCCCCCCACCCCCGCTCCCCCCATACATCTAGGGCTGTTTCCCTCTTCCTCTCTTGTTTTTCATACCCACCTTTCCCCTCCTCCTCTCTCACAAGTCCAGATAACCGCGGGTGGTCGTGCCGACCCGCCTTTGGCAGCACCAAGCAGAGGTGGCAGCTCTGACCGCCTCTGGCCTAGGCCCTCAGGGAGAATGGAGCAGCATACTGCCCCAAGGCATACCTGTGACCCAGCTTCTCACTGCTCTCCGTGAAGTGCATTCACTCTGCCTGCCTTGGGCCCCAGCCCTGGCGATTACAGGGTTCGAACAGTGTCCTCCGAGAAAGAGTGGGAGAGCAGCTCACTTTTCTCTCAGCTCTGCCTCCACTCTGGTCCCCAGGGTTTTCCCTTCCCCTGGAGGCGAGCCAGACCAGGGCCTCTGCCAGGAGCAGCTGGGCATGAGCAACTGAGCAAGCTGAGGCAGCGCTTGCAAGGAGCTTTCCAGGCCCTTTGTGCTGCTTAGCCTCGCTGCCTTCTTCCCCCAGAGCGGCTCTCCCCAGCCCTCTCTTCCTGCTACCCAGGATCCTTTGCCCGAGCCAGGATGCTCTTGGTCACTTTCCTCGCTCTGCCCTGACCCACTCCACCCCACCCCACCCCAGGGGGAGTCGCAGCTTCACCTGATTCTTCCTTATGCTCACCTGGCTCGCTCACAGGCGGTCTCTTAATGACCGAAGCATTCCCCGTCCTTGGAATTTCCTGTCTTCTGCCTCCCCCCCCTTATTCCCTTTGGTTTTGTGGGGAGAGGGGAAGAATCAGGGGGCCAGGCCAGCAGCTTGGGGGCCACAGGGAGACATTGGATAATGTGCCTGTTTTTTAACTCAATGAAAAAAGCCTACCTCCGAAATCCCCTTTTTGTTCTTCCTGGACCTGGACATTCAGTTCCTGCCCTTGACTGAATTGGGGGTCTCTGCCTCCTGCTCTGTGTATCCTGGCCCCTGGGTCACAGGGAAGCCACATAGACATCCCTTTCTTCCCTTGCACGCTCGCTAGCAGCTGGTAAGGTTTTCACACCCTGATTCCTCAGTTTTTTGCCTGGTGACACTGACATGAAGTAGTGGGGGGAGATAGTCCATACCAGGACCCCCTGGAGTGGCCTTCCCCTTGGCTGTGGGCAGGCCCTAATTCACTGTCGCTTTGGAGTTGAGGTGTCTTTCTTTCTTTAGTTCCTGTATTCCAAACATTAGTACAAATAAACGTTTTTACACAGAACTCCCTGCTGGGTGGTTTATCTCCTGACTCCCTTTCCTGGTTGAGAAAGTCATTTCATCCTAAAACTCTCTTCCTCAGGGCAGTGGTTTTTAAGTGTTTTGAAATACAACTTCTAATCCCAAACGAAAATTTTTGCTGAAGTCCAATATGTAAAGCAGAGATAAAATTGAGACCTTTGTTCTGATTTCTTTTCCTGTTTTTAAGATTTTTTTATTTGAGAGAGCATGAGTGGGGGTTGGAGGAGAGGGAAGGGGAAAGAATCTCAAGCAGACTCCACACTTAGCACAGAGCCGGACTTGGGGCTTGATCCTATGACCCTGAGATCATGACCTGAGCCGAAATCAAGAGTCTGAGGCTCAACCGACTGAGCCACCCAGGCATCCCTATTCTGATTTCTTCATGTAAGTTCATGTTCTAACAATTCCTTGTTACAAAAGAGAAGTTGTTTTTGTTTTGTTTTAAAGATTTATTTATTTGACAGAGACACAGAGAGAGGGGGAACACAAGCAGGGGGAGTGGGAGAGGGAGAAGCAGGCTTCCCACGGAGCAGAGAGCCCGATGCGGGGCTCGATCCCAGGACCCCGGGATCATGACCTGAGCTGAAGGCAGACGCTTAACTGACTGAGCCACCCAGGCGCTCCTAAAAGAGAAGTTGTTTTGATTAATACAAAACTTGAGTTAAAATCAACTTTAGCATCCTGTTTCTATATTTTGGTTGGTTTGAAGGTAATTCTGCTAGACTTGTATATGCAAGTGGTGACAGTTTTCTAACGGTTGATTTGGGATTTCAGAAGGTTAGTTATATAAATACCAAAGAATGACAGAAGAAAAGAACATCACGGTGGGACATGTGAAAGCTTTGTTCATGAGGAGCACAGAGGCCCCTCGACCTTGCTTGCCTGGCATTCCTTCCCTTACCTGCCATGTGCATAAACACCCGCACGGCCACCTTCCTCAGGGAATGTCTATGTGCACAAAAAATGACTCCTTTCCTTGGAGCCAACATTTTATTGTTGACGGCCTCCGTAATGGATCTTCTTTATCTCGCTTGAAAGTGTGTTTTGTGGGTGCCTGGGTGGCTCAGTTGGTTAAGCGACTGCCTTCGGCTCAGGTCATGATCCTGGAGTCCCTGGATCGAGTCCCTCATCAGGCTCCCTGCTCGGCAGGGAGTCTGCTCCTCCCTCTGACCCTCCCCCCTCTCATGTACTCTCTCTCATTCTCGCTCTCTCAAATAAATAAATCTTAAAAAAAATAAAAATTAAAAAAATAAAAATAAAAAAAAAAGAATGTGTTTTGTAGTTCTTAAACTTTTCAAGATTTCAATTATGAACCGCCCCCCCCCCCCCCGAGGAATCCTTAGGGTTTTTTGAAACAGCCTGAAAGCCACTGTTACCCACTGAAAGACGGTGGCCTGGCGATTGCATTCAATAAATAAGCAGGGTGCTCTGAGCTGGGAATTTTATTAGTAACAGAGCATATCCCCTGTCCTCAGGCTTTTACATGGAAGTAGGCCAGAAGCAGAGGGAGTAAAGCAATGATCCTTGGTGTCTGAGTAGTCTAGGAGTCAGAAGAAAAAGAAATGTAAAAAAATAAAAGATGCCGTAGCAGGCATAAGTGAGAAGAACTTTGGAAAGGGGTTGCAGGAGTTGGGGTTTAGGATGGGACATAGAAGGATGGAAGAAGGACCAGCCATAGATTGGGCTGGGGAGGGAAGCCTGTGAGAAAGGCAGAGAGATGGGGATTCATCTGTGGCCCTGGGCTTCCCATCAGAGCTGGGAGTGGAGGAGGAAAAGCAGGCTGAAGTTCAGGATGGGGAGCACTCGACCGCAGGTTAAGATACCTACATTCAGGGGCACCTGGGTGGTTCAGGTGTTAAGCGTCTGCCTTCGGCTCAGGTCATGATCCCAGGGTCCTGGGGTCAAGCCCCGCATCGGGCTCCCTGCTCCGCGGGAGGCCTGCTTCTCCCTCTCCCATTCTTCCTGCTTGTGTTCCCTCTCTCGCTATGTTTCTCTGTCAAATAAATAAAATCTTAAAAAAAAAAAAGATACCTACATTCAATTGCTAAGAAGAGGCAGGACTAAAGGTTGCTAAGGAAGGGACTGGTATTAGATCTTGAGTTTAGAAACTTGAATTGTGGGGTGCCTGGGTGGCTGAGTTGGTTAAGCATCAGACTTAATTTAGGCTCAGGTCATGATCTCAGGGTTGTGAGATCCAGCCCCACGTGGAGCCTGAAGTCGGCTCTGCACTGGCCATGGAGCCTGCTTAAGATTCTCTCTCAGCCAACCCTGTCTCTCTCTCCCTCTCTTAAAAAAAAAAAAAAAAAAAAAAAAGAGGGGCGCCTGGGTGGCTCAGTCGGTTGAGCAGCTGCCTTCAGCTCAGGCTATGATCCCAGGGTCCTGGGATCGAGCCTGGCGTCGGGCTCCTTGCTCAGCGGAGGGCCTGCTTCTCCCTCTCCCTCTGCCTGCCTGCCACTCCCCCTGCTTATGCTTTCTCTCTCACTATCTCTGTCTCTGTGTCAAATAAATAAAATCTTTAAAAAAAGAAAAAGAAACTTGAATCTAGCCACCAGTTACCAAAACTAATAAAAATTAGTCCTTATTCGCCCTAAATCAGAACGGGCCATGGGGCACCTGGCTGGCTCAGTCAGTAGAGCATGCAACTCTTGATCTTGAGGTCGTGAGCTGGAGCCCCACACTGGGCATGGAGCCTACTTAAAACAAACAAAACAAAACAACAAAAAACCTGGCGCCAGGCAGGTAGGTAGTTGTCCCTTATCCCTAGCTGGACAGATCAACCTGAGGCCAGCGCTGTCCATGGTAACAGCTTTCGTGTGGCTTAAAGGTTTCGTCCATTTTCCTCACAACCACTCCGTGAGCGGTATTAGCCCTGTTTGGAAGATGAGAAAGCTGCGACTGCCTAGGTCACGGCCAAGAAGGCCTTAAGAAGCCGGGGCTGCTCTCCGGCCCCCGCGCTGCCCCGAGGCTCCTCAGGCCCCAGCTGCTGGCGGCGCCTCCGGGACTCCCGCGGGGTCTTGGCTCCGCCTCACCGCCCGTCTCTCTGGAAGCACCGCCCCCAGGAGGGCCCCACCACTTCTGCGACGTCCAATGAGACTTGGCTGGGGGCGGGACGGGACGTCATTGAGGGCCAATCTGATGGGGCCTGGGCGGGGCTGCGGCGGGTGGGAGCCGAGCGGCCGCACCGCGGTCTTCCCAGCCGGGAGAGAGCCCGGCGCGGGCGGCGCGCACGGGCCCCTGCTGTGCGCGCGCGCGCCCCCCGCCCCCCGCCCCCCGCGGAGCCCCTCGGCCCACTCCGCCCGCCGGGTCGTGGCGCCCGTCCCTCCTCTGCTCTCCCGTCGCCGCCCGGACAGGGGCTCCGAGCCGAGCCGAGCCGGGGCAGGGGCGGGAGCCGCGGGACGAGCGCCTGAGGTGGGTGCGGAGCGGGAGGCCGGAAGGCGGGGAGGCCGGGCGGGCGGGCGCCTGGGTACACCCCGCCGACGGACCCCGCGTCGAGGTGGGGAGAGGCCGGCCAGGTTGCGGAGCCCGGCTCCCGGCCTGCCTCGGCCCTAGGCGCTCGTGCCCGCGCTCTAGTACCCCTCCCAGGCCACCTCCCTCCCCTCTGGGGACACCCCGTCCCTCTTGCTGCCCGCGGCCTCCTCACCCCTCTTGCTGTTTGTCGCCTGTGCACCTGCCATCTCGGCCCCGTGCTCCCACTCCCTCTCCCTCTCCAGGCCGGACCCCCGCCCAGTCTTAACTCCTCGGGACCCAGCACCAAATTAGCCTCGCTCCTTCTGCCCGCATCTGTCCCTCTTTGTCGTCTGTATACTTGTCACCTCAACTCAGCTCATCCACTCGCCACCCCGCCCCCAATATCATTTAAGTCCAGCCCAGGCCATCATCCCTCTCCCCCTCCCAGGGACTACCGCCCCCCCCACCCTGATTATCTCCTACACCTGCCCCACTCAGTCCCAGTCCCCTGTCCTCCCCCATCCATACTCCTTTGTTGTCTCTGCAGCTGTCCCCTTGGCTTTATTCATCCTTCTCCCCCCGCAACCCCAGGCCAGACTCCTTCTCCCTCTGACCAGTGAGCCACCCCCTCCCCAGCTCTGCTCTGGCATTCCTCCTGGTCCGTGCCCAGCCCACTGCTCCCTCCGCCTAGCTCTTCCCTTCCTTCCAGCCCAGCCCTCTGAACACCCTCCCCAGTGCACCCTCTCACTCTCTCCCAGCTGGCCCAGTCTCCCCTGGTCTCTCCCACACACCAGCCTCTTTCCCTGTCCTCATACCTTCTCGTTTCTGTGATCCTTGCCCGTCCCCCCCGGCCTCGGCCATCTGGACACCGCTCACTGTTTCCTACCCCCACAGGTGCCGTGGAGAAGCCATGGAGCTGAGCAGCAAGAAGAGACTTCACGCCCTGTCCCTGGCCGAGAAGATCCAGGTGCTGGAACTCCTGGATGAGTCCAAGATGTCCCAGTCGGAGGTGGCCCGGCGCTTCCAAGTCTCCCAGCCCCAGATCTCGCGCATCTGCAAGAATAAGGAGAAGCTGCTGGCCGACTGGTGCAGCGGCACCGCCAACCGGGAGCGCAAGCGCAAGCGGGAGTCCAAGTACAGCGGGCTCGACGAGGCCCTGCTCTGCTGGTACCACATTGCCCGGGCCAAGGCCTGGGACGTCACGGGGCCCATGCTGCTCCACAAAGCCAAGGAACTGGCCGGCATCCTGGGCCAGGATTTTGTACCCAGCATCGGCTGGCTGGTCCGCTGGAAGCGCCGGAACAATGTAGGCTTCGGGGCCCGCCCGGTAGCGGCGGCCGCCTTCCGCCCTGAGCCACCGCCCCCGGGCCCCACGTCCCGGGCGCAGCCCCCTCTTTCTCTTCAAGACTTCTCCCCCGAGGACGTTTTCGGCTGCGCCGAGGTGCCTCTGCTGTACCGGGCCGTGCCCGGCAGGGGGCGCGCCTGCGACCGCGTGCGGGTGCTGCTCTGCGCCAACAGCAGAGGCACCGAGAAGCGGCCGGTGCTGGTCAGCGGGCTCCGGGCCGCGCCCACGTGCTTCTCCGGAGTCAGCAGTGAGGCTCTGCCGGCCTCCTACCACCCTGACCTGGGCACCCCCTGGTGCGAGTGGCTGGCGCAGTTTGACCGGGACATGGGCCAGCAGGGCCGGCGGGTCACCCTGCTGCTGGCTGCCCGCGTGCTCGAGGAGCTGGCCAGCCTGCCCGGCCTCTGCCACGTGAGGCTCCTGCCCCTGTCGGCCGCCGCCGCCGCCGCCGCGGGCGGCACGCCGGCCCTGCCCGGCTCCGTGGTGCGGGCCTTTAAGACCCACTACCGGCACCGTCTGCTGGGCAAGCTGGCCGCCGTCCAGAGCAAGAGGGCCGGCATCTCGCTGGCCGAGGCGGGGGCCGGCATCACGGTGCTCGATGCTCTGCACATGGCGGCGGCGGCCTGGGCCAAGGTGCCCCCGCAGCTCATCGTCAGCAGCTTCGTCCAGGAAGGGCTGGCTCCCTGCAAGATGCCCCTGTGCCCGGACGAAGCCTCCCAGATGCCGCCCGTCCCCGGCGGGCTGAGCCTCCAGGAGTTTGCCCGCTTTGTGGACCTGGAGGGCGAGGAGCCCGCGTCCGGAGCGTGCAAAGAGGAGACGGGCGCCGAGGCCGGGCAGGGGGGCCAAGAGGACGGCCTGCAGCCCCTGCCCACCAAAGCCGACGCCCTCCGGGCTCTGGGCACGCTGAGGAGGTGGCTGGAGTGCAACAGCACCTCCCCTGAGCTTTTCGAGAAATTCTACGCCTGTGAAGAGGAGGTGGAGAGGCTCTGCTGCCTGTGAAGGGCCGCTCGCTGCTCCCGCTCGCCGCTCGCTCGCCCGAGCCTCTCCTCTCCTGTTTCCTATGGAAACGCCCCCTCGAGGAAGGCAGACGGGAGGCTGGCCTCTTTCCCGTGGAAATGGAGCTCTTGTGAAAGGTGGAGAAGGGAGACAAGCTGGGAGACCCAGTCTAAGCTCTGAGAGAAAGTTGTCCAAGCCCTGAGAAGAGGGGGCTAAAGATGGGGTGCGAGCTAGCGCGAGTTTCCGACCCTCTAGGGAGGCTGGGACTCGGGAAGCTGGAATTGGGGCTTTACACACAGGCCGATCCCTCGACTTCTGTGTTTGAAACAGTTCTGCTTCTGGAAATAAAGTTTTTAATCAGAAAAGAGGTCAGGGTGTTAATTTCCTGGGAGGAGGGCGAACGCTTTCAACTCAGATTCTTTAAATTGGCTGCCGAGGCTTGCCTCAGCGCAGCTGTCTGGGCAGATGACCAGCAGGACTCCCCTCTTCCAGAATTCCAGCAGCAAGGGCTCCCAGGGAATGGGGACTCCTTACCCGCTGACAGTCAGATCCCGAGTACCGCCCTGGGACATCCTGTGGCACTAGGACTCCGCTCTCGGGTCGCGGCTGCACGGTGGTGTTAGGAAGGAGGGGGCCCAGGCTAGGGACAGTCCAGAGAAACCGAAAGGAGCCAGAACTTGGAAGAGTCATTTGTTCATCTGATCATTTCACAGCATCTCTTCCGCAAGCCTCCTGCGTGCTGAGGTGGCAGACATGGCGTCCCCGCTGGGCAGGACCTTGCAGACAGTGACAGCCCAGCATGATTAAAGGCTGTCACCCAGGCGCGTGCAAAGTGCCGTGGCCCCGCAGAGCCTGGGGAGACTCCTGGCGGGGGTGCGCTTCGAGCTGCAGCTTGAAGGACGGCCGGCAGAGAGGAAAGGACAGTCCAGGTGCAGGGGCCGACGGAGGGAAGGAGCACGGTGTGGCGGGGGGAAGCAGGTGGTCCCTCCAGAGCGCATGGGGAGGCCTGGGGAGCAGGAGGGCTGCTTAGCTCTGAGGGTCTCCGTCAGGATGGGAAAGGTCATTCGTGGGGGTTCTAGAATGACTGAGACATGGAGGGTGGGTCAAAGATGGGAGAGCTACCGGCAGAGAGAGGCCAAGTGGTCCAGGTGAGAGATGGGCAGCCTGAGCCAGATCGGGAAGTAGGACTTGAAAAGGACGGATTTACCTGGAAAGGCCATGGGCCATGGACACAGACAGACCTGGGCTGGTGAGGAGTCCAGCTCAGGCCAAAATCCTCCTGTGGCCTAAAAGGCAATAGGCCACCACAAGCCAATGTGGTGCAGCTTTCTGGGGGGCACTGCGGTCCAGGACTCAGCGCCCAGGGCAGCCACACAAGCGAGGGGAGGGGCAGAGGGAGAGGAGAGTCTTAAGCAGACTCCCTGCTGAGTGTGGAGCTGGACACGGGGCTCGATCCCAGGACTCTGGGATCATGACCTGAGCCCAAATCAAGAGTCAAGCTCTTAACTGGCTGAGCCACCCAGGCGCCCCTGACAACTCACTTTCTTTTTTTTTTTTTAAAGATTTTATTTATTTATTTGAGAGAGAGAATGAGAGAGAGCACATGAAAGGGGGAAGGGTCAGAGGGAGAAGCAGACTCCCTGCCGAGCAGGGAGCCCGATGCGGGACTCGATCCCAGGACTCCAGGATCATGACCTGAGCCGAAGGCAGTCGCTTAACCAACTGAGCCACCCAGGCACCCCTGACAACTCACCAGGCACCCCTGACAACAGTGCTGAGGCTGCCCGCCAGTCTTCCATGTCCCAAATCCTACAGGCTTTCCTCACAGATCCTAGTTTTCCTACCTCTATTAAATTGTCCCTTTTCTGAAATCATCCCAGTTCTGACCTATCTCTTTAAATGTTAAAGCCAAAATTATACGATCTCTAAAGACCTGACCAAAGCAACAAGGAGGGGACACACTAGCCCTCCGTTCTGGGTGCCCTATTCCCATCAGAGCAGCACAGCCAGACGGCCATACTGCTGCCTTCTTCCCACAGCTTTTCTTTTAAAGCCACAAGGAACCCCTTCCTTTCCTGCACTGCTGTTCTATATCATGCTTTGCCTGTTTGCAGGCGACTTTGTTGGCTCATTCAAGCAGTATTCACTGACCTTTCTGTTTGTGGGTCGGGCCCTGTTCCAGGACTCTGCAGCTCGTAGAGAACAAAACAGAAAGGATCCCTCCTCTCCAAGCTCTTTCTTTCTGGTAGAGGGAGATAAAGAAGAAACAAGTAAGCCAATAAACACGGGTCATCTTAGATGGCAATCAGTGCCAAGACGAGAATAAAATAATGATGCCCTCGAGAGAGGCCAGGAGAGGGGAGTTAGGGAGAAGGCCTTTGGGCTGAGTCGCAAAGGTAAGGAAGCACCTCTGGTTCCCAAGGAAGGGTTCTCTGTTGCTTTTTGTTTCTGCTGATGCTTTAGCTCATGGTGGCTTTTTTCTTTGTGTGTCTCTTAATTTCTGGCTGTGGGAATAATTTTTAAAAATATTTTATTAATTTATTTTTTATTTTTCATCTCTGGAACACCTGAAGGTCTGATTTAGGGATCAAAAGATGTGCGATTGGGGCGCCTGGGTGGCTCAGTTGGTTAAGCGACTGCCTTCGGCTCAGGTCATGATCCTGGAGTCCCGGGATCGAGTCCCGCATCGGGCTCCCTGCTCGGCGGGGAGTCTGCTTCTCCCTCTGACCCTTCCCCCTCTCATGCTCTCTATCTCATTCTCTCTCAAATAAATAAATAAAATCTTAAAAAAAAAAAAAAAAAAGATGTGTGATTACTCCTACCAGGCACGAGAGGGCGCTACTGCCGTGATAAATTAAATTTCTCCCGGAAAGATGTTCCAGAGCCAAAGTGCCGTGAGTAGGCACGTGGTTCCTGGTTCACAGAGGAGACTCTTATTAACTTCTGTCCACCACGAGGGCGTGGTAGGTTTGTTTGTAAATTCCCTTTTTGGTGGGTGGAGGCTTTCTGGTTTACTCTTTCACTAAAGGTGTATCCCTTTCCAGAATCTTGGTTTATGAGTGTTGGGTTCATCTCCCCTGTGTGCGGTGGACTCAAAGTCTAGTCTTCAGCTCCGTGAAGTTCTTTAACCTCCCAGGTCTCAGCATTAGTGTGAGCCCTAAGGTCAGCTCCAATTCCAACACCCCAATTTGCACTTACTTCCTTGGTTCTTTTTCATCGGAGGAAATCCTTTTTTTTTTTATTTAATTTTAATATGTTATGTTAGTCACCACACAATACATCATTAGTTTTTTTTTTTAAGATTTTATTTATTTATTTGAGAGAGAGAGAATGAGAGACAGAGAGCATGAGAAGGAGGAAGGTCAGAGGGAGAAGCAGACTCCCCGCTGAGCAGGGAGCCCGATGCGGGACTCGATCCCGGACTCCAGGAACATGACCTGAGCCGAAGGCAGTCGCTCAACCAACTGAGCCACCCAGGCGCCCCACATCATTAGTTTTTGATGTAGTGTTCCACGATCCATTGTTTTCGTATAACACCCAGTGCTCCATGCAGTACTTGCCCTCCTTAATACCCATCATCGGGCTAACCCATCCCTCCACCCCCCTCCCCTCTAAAACCCTCAGTTTGTTTCTTGGAGTCCATAGTCTCTCATGGTTCGTCTCCCCCTCCGATTTCCCCCCCTTCATTTTTCCCTTCCTTTTCCTAATGTCCTCCATGCTATTCCTTATGTTCCCAGCAGCAATGTCCACAATAGCCAAACTGTGGAAAGAGCCGAGATGTACTTCCTTGTTTTGAAGGGGCGCTTGGGAAGTTCCCTTACTTCTTGAAAAGTTAGCGATGGTTTTAAGATCGCATTTGTAATAACGTATCTGGAATGTAGCCGCCTTGTAGTAGCAGGGCTCTAGGTAAATAAAGCCTAGGGCACCAGCCTGCCAGAGGGGATGTCAGGAAGACCGGTTTTCTTTCTTTCATTTACTCATTCATTCATTTGTTCAAAGCTCTTCATTGAGCAACTCTGTGTGCCCGCTAGCGTTTTGATGATAAACAAAAACAGACAAGGTCTCTGCTTCACGGAGTTCATAGCTTAGAGGAAAGACAATTATCATAAAGGAATCACACACACAAAAGCCTGTGATTCCAGATGAAGTGGGGATTATGTGAGAGCACAGGGGTTCTCAAACTGCGGCCCACACCGGCAGCATCAGTAGGAACCTAGGAAAGCACAGATTCTTGGAGTTTCCTCAGACCTACTGCTTCAGAAACCCCAGCATGGGGCCCAGTAATCTGTATTTGAACAAGCTTCCCAGGTGATTCTAAACCACTGGGATAAGCCAAAAGAACTTGACCTAGACAGAGGGGCTGAGGAGAGCTTCCCTAAGGAAGTGGTGATGACAGCAGAAGGATGAGTGGGAGGTGCACAGGCAGTGAGAACTGTACATGCAAATGGCCTGTGGTGAGAGGGAACATGGTTGTTTAAGGAACCAAGAGAAGGTGAATGTCCGAGGGCCTTGAAGGTTGTAGAAGGAGCTTGCCCTGATTCCTCAGAGTAATGGAAAGCCATCAAGGGGGACAAGGAGAGTAGGAGAAAGTTGAGTTATTTGTCCAGATTCAGGACAGGACCAGGGCTGTGGCTTTAGGACTGAGAAAGAGGGAGTGAGTCTTAGAAAACTTTGGGAGCAGGGTTAGCAGGAGCTGGGGACTCCTTTGCTGTGGGAGGAGGGGAGCTTCTCTGAGACCTCTGGCCTGAGGACATTCCTGGGTCACAGAGCACTGACTTCAGCAGAAGCAGGCTGGCGGGGAACGGGAGGCGCTTTTGGGATGCTCAGGGATGCGTGACCAGAGACAGCCAGCAGTGGTCAGGCTGGAAACGCCAACGAAATCACATTTGCAAAGTGCATCCCCACGGCTCAGCTGTTTAGTGAGTCTGGAAGAAGTGATTTAAGCCAGAATCGTCCCACGGTGTGTCATTTCTCCCTATCCCTGCTCGTGTGGAGTCCACATCAGTTAGCTTCCTGTAATTTCTCCTACTGTGATCGCTGCTATAAAAATAAGGGTCACGTTTGACAGCACGAAAACCAGCGAGATGTTTTTCACGTTTGCCCAAGTCACAGGCTCCCTATGTGCAAGGCTCAGACACCAGCCCCATTGTCAACCTCAAAGCAAGTGCATTTGCTATTTGGTTCTTAGGGATTCCTTCGATCTCAGTGAGCTCTCAGAAAGAATGATGACCTCTAACAACATGTTAATTCCTTGAGGAATTTAACATGAGTATTATGAGACCCTGCTGATGTAAAAACACGTGCCTTTTATTTATTTATGTTTAAAGATTTTATTTATTTATTTGACAGAGACAGAGAGAGCACACAAGCGGGGGAGGGGCAGAGGGAGAGGGAGAAGCAGGCTCCCCGCCGCTGAGCAGGGAGCCCGTCGCAGGCTCGATCCCAAGACCCTGGGATCATGACCTGAGCCAAAGGCAGGCACTTACCTGACTGAGCCTCTCAGGTGCCCCTCAGCTCAGGTCTTGAATTCAGGGTTGTGAGTTCAAACCCCATGCTGGGCTCCATGCTAGGTGTGGAGCCTAAAGAAAAAGAAAAAGCAACTCCTTGGCCACCTCCTGCCTGATCTTTAACCCTCACGTCACTCCAGCTCTGTTCTGATGCCTTGCTTAGCAGCCCTCAGCACCGCAGCGGAAGGAGCGGCCCTGCGGGAGGCTTGCCTTCTCTCTGGTTCTAAGTGAGCAGCTAGAGGAGAGGAGCCCCAGCTCCCAGAGACACCTCTGGAAAGAACCAGATAGGCAAAACGGACAGGACAGAGGCAGGCTTTGGGCATAATTACTCCCCCAGAAGAGGATTTAACTAAAGCCAAATCAAAAAAGGATTTTTAAATGTTATTCTCCTGCTGACTGGTAACATGACTCATGGCAAACTACAGAGGGCCACCCTGACCCCCTGCTCCCTTCTGGCCCACTTATAAGCACCACCTCCTCTTCACAGGCACCCACTGCCCCCCCTGCCCCCCGCCATGCCCCCAACGACCGTCGGACCATCACTGCCGTATCCAGCCCCAGATGCCTGGTGCCACAGACCACAGAGGAGTCACCCCCGACCTGGAAGCCCGCAGACCCCTACCTACTGCATCAGTAAGGGCGAGGCGAACTATCGCAGCAAGGAGATGCCAGGGCGCGGCAGCCTGGTGGGGGGGGTCAGACGGGCTGTGCTCCCCGGCACCCAGGCTCCTGGCTGACCTATGTGCAAGGGCCTTGGGGGGTCAACACTTCCGGCCAAGAGTGAGGCATCTCCTTGAAGGCAAGAGACAGGTAATTTGCATGCATTACACATTTCTCCATCTAAAGCCCAAGCGCGGGGGCCCAGTGAGCTCTAAGGGAGGTTAGGAAGCTGAGCCCGAGTCCAGGCCACGGGCCCTGCGGCCACACTGTGACAGTGGAGGAAGGGGGGCACGATTCGGGGCCACCCGCCGTCGGCAGCCCACGATCCAGTGAAGGAAAGCCCTGGCGAGCACAGGGGGGCTAATGCCATCAGGCCTAGCCCGGCTGCGTTTGAACTTTGGTGGGAGACTGTCTCAGGCCCCAGGTAGAGCAGAGCAGCTGAGTAACTGTGCTCTGGAGCTGGAGGCTCAGATGTGTCCAGAATGTGTGGCGTTCTGGCTGTGTGATCTTGGACAAGGTAAACACTGTCTCTGAGCTGAGGCTGTGATAATAGCTGTAACGTTATAAACTGTGATAATATGGTGACGTGTTGTTGTTGTTTTTTAAGATTTTATTTTTTTAAGTAATCTCTGCACCCAATGTGGGGCTCGAACTTACAACCTTGAGATCACGAGTCTCACGCTCCACCGAAGGAGCTGGCCAGGTGCCCTCATTGTGATGGTTTTTAGAGGGAGCCCCCAGTAAATGGCAAGAATTCTGGGCATTCAGGTCACCATGAGGTGGGCCCAGGTTGACCTCAGACCAGATCGGGACATTAGTGGGTACAGACTCAGCTCAGCTTTATTGCCAATTAAGTAAACCTTCTTAGCCAGCTTGAAATTGCCACTTAGCAACTGGGGTGGGTAAAGAAAACAAGGACCATCAGGGAGGGTGGGCCGGGAGACACCCCCGGGGGGAGTGGCCCCCGACTTCTGGCACTCCGAGAGACTCCGAGGGGGGCCGGGCAGGCAAAACCTCTCAGTGGAAAGATGGGGGACAGGACCAAGGAAGCAGGTGTGGTGGCTGGAGTGGGGGAACAGATCAGAAGCCTGACCCCTGATCTCAAGGAGCTCCCTGTGTCACGGGGTCAGGTTGAGAAGTGAATCAACAACCGTGGCAAAGCATGGGGGGGGCTGTGATCAAGGCCACATGTGGGGGATGTGGGAGGGAAGGGGTTGGGGGAAAACCCCACAGTCAGTGGGGGACAAGGGGGACTCCCTTGCCTGCCAGGAACGACTCCGGGGGACAGTGCTCAGCCTGGGCCGAGGAGCGGGCTTAGCCAAGGGGTGATGGAGTCACCCTGGGGGTGCCGCCCTCTGCTGGGCAGGAGGGAATGAAGAACAGCCCAGCCTGTGCTCCCCACGCAGGGCTGGAGGTGGGGGAGGTGGGGCTTCTTCTCACAGGCCAGGGGAGCCACTGAAGGATTCTGGACCAGCAGGAGACAGAAGACTGCTCTCCAGGAGGGTCGTGCGGGGAGCGGTTTGGAAGGAGGCGAGGTGGGGGGCGGTGAGGACCGTTGCTGGAATCCAGGGGGTGGCTAGCACCCAGGAGTGCAGGCCCTGAGAGCTCTCTGAGGGGTGAAGTCACAGGCGGGGGCCGGAATGTCACCAGCACCAGGGGCCCGTGAGTGTGTTTCACAGACTCGGGGAGCACGGGTGCCAAGGCTGAGGGCTGCTGGGAGGCTGAAGCCAGCCCTGTGTTCCCGAGGCCAGGACCCCGGGCCTCCTGCCCCCCATAGCTGCGTGCCCATAAGGAAGGGCCGGGCCTCTCGAATGGCAAAGGCAAGCTGGTGCTTTCCCCTTATTCTCCCATCTGGGCGGTAGGGCGGGGGTCTGGCGGGGGAGCTGCGGCCACGACCTGGCCACGCTCATCCCCATCAGCGCAGGAGGTACTCGTAGCTGAGGAAGGTGACGGCGTTGACAGGAAAAGCACGGGCGCTGTTGATCGTAAGCCCCCGGAAGAAGACCCCCAGTCCTTCCTGCCGGACACTGCTTGCCATGCAGTCCAGCACCCCCCGGTACACCCTGTGCTTCAGCCCGGCCATCTGCATCCAGGACTTGATCACGTCCAAGGGGGTGGCCACGGCCCAGGAGATGATGCCTGCGAAGCCCCCTGCCGCCAGCACTGTGGCTGAGCCTGGGGCAGAGGAAGCCCAGGCGGTGTCAGACCAAGGAGCAGAGCACCCCCACCCCATCCCTAGGGTCCCTCCCCCATCCTCCAGGGCAAGGGCCAGCTCCCCTCCCCCACTCCTGTCTGTCCCCCCCCCCCCCCCGCTCACACACCCCACTTACTGGGGTTCTGGCCGTCCGGCGTGGACTGGCGGCACAGCCACTCATAGATGACAAAATAGATGCCCAGCGTGGGGGTGTCCCTCAGCGTCAGGGCCCAGGCTCCCCAGAAGAGCCCCTGGGGCCCCTCCTCCTGGCAGATGGAGACCGCACAGTGCACGGGCCCCCGGTACCAGGGCGGGGGGCTGCCCAGCCGCGCCCTCAGCTCTGTTTGGTTTTGTAGCCGGACTTTGATGAGGTCAAAAGGGGCCAAGCAGTAGACCTGTAGGGAAGGAAGCACGGAGAGCCTGGGTGGGGCTCCGGGCCAGCACGGCGGCCCACCCTAACAAGAGGAAGGTGGTGGGCAGAGAGGGCGGTGGCCCACCCTAACAAGAGGAAGGTGGTGGGCAGAGAGGGCGGCGGCCCACCCTAACAAGAGGAAGGTGGTGGGCAGAGAGGGCGGCGGCCCACCCTAACAAGAGGAAGGTGGTGGGCAGAGAGGGCCGCATCTGCCCGCGGGGCCAAGCACAGGCCAGACCACTGCCCTTAGCATCTGCCCCTGACGGCCGGCGGCACTGCCCGTCTCCTTGGGCAACAGCACTGAACTTGCCTGGCCCGTGCATAGAGCTCAGAAACAATCCTGCATTGTTTCTCCAAGAGTGGGGGTAGGTTCTAGCCCCCCAGAAGCCAGGGGTGGGCACGCACCTGCGGTGACGGGGTCTGAAGAAAGGATTCAGTCTGTGCCCGTGAGACAGGTCTGACCCCTCCCCACAGTGAAGGAGGTCACCTCAGTCCTGTTGGGGACTCAACTTCATAGAGTCTCGCTCCCCCCACTTCCTGCGGGACACCTCTCAGAGGCCCCTGAGGGGGTCAAGCGCTGGGCCAGCCTTTCCTGCCTCCCGCAAACCCCCAACTACTAGGGTCCCAACAGAAGGTGGGTGATGGTGGGATCTGTGTCCCAGGACTCTTATCACCGGGCTGAGGCAGAAGGGACAAACATCTGGGGTAGTATTAGGACTGAGGGTGGTTCTGAGTGGAGGCGGAGGGAAGCTGGGGCCCGGGGCTAATGTGAGGTTCACGGATGCACTAAGGTCAAGGTCAGCTGTTAAAGTTCGGATGAGAATTGAGGTCAAGCTGAGGTTAGTGTGTCGTGAGGGGTTTCTGTGGGTTCTGTTTCTTTTGCGGAAAGTACACGAGCTTAGTCCCTCAGCCCTGGAAGCTGGCTCCGGCGATGGTGTTCCGAGGGCGGCGGGCCCACTTTGCTTACCTCCTCCCCGGCTGGAAGGATGGTGCTCTGGGCTCCCTCCCTATAAGGCGGGATCCTGATGTCATCCTTCAGAGCCTGCGGGCAGTGCCAAGCTCAGGGCTTCTCCAGGGGACGTGACCCTGAGCCCAGGGCTCCCGACGGTGAGCAAATGGCTGAGCCAAAGCTAGGGTGGCTAGCAGGGGCAGGTTAGGGCCCCCCGGCTCCCCATCCTGCCCGCAGGCGCGGTGGGGATGGCACACAATGCCAATGTTTGAGAGCGTCAGGCTTTCTGAGCCAAAAGCAACTTCTGTGCCCATCACAGGTTGTCATTCCCTGCCCTGGGCTGGCCAGAGTCACATCCTGCCTCTTCCTCCCCATCTCCACACTAAAACACAATTTCTGCTCCCAGACCTGTTAAGCCGAATCCATGAGCTTGATGGCAAACCAGGTTCCTGTTGGTCCTTGAACCCAATCCCCATCCGTGACCCTACAGTCCCCAGTTCTGCTATCTGTCCGGCTTTGCAATGAGCTGGAGGGGAGGGTGACTTAGGAGCTGGGCCTGGCTGGGCCGGCCACTAGCATGGAGTCTCAGTTTGCTTCCTTGTTTTGGTGAGGTGCAGGTCTCAGGGCTGGGGAAATATGCAAGCGTGTGCCCCGTACAAGAAGGGGCAGAAGAAAAGCCAGGACCTTTTGGGGGTCTCATGAATCATTAATTCACTGGAGTGAGCCACCTGATTCTGTCCTTTGTCCTTGCTCTCTGCCCCAGAAAGTGTGTTAGGGGCATCAGGGCAGGTGCCAAATAGAGGGTGACCTCAGGCGCCTGGCTGGGGTGTGGGGTGGAGCCAGAAACGGGCCCCTCTGCCTCTATGCTCACACCCCTCAATCAGCTGGGGCTCCCCCTGGTGCCTGGAGGCCCCTCTTTCCTCCACTCCACCAATCAAAAGGCAGATACTTAAGTGCTGAGAACAAAGACCGAAACTAAACGATGGGAGCTATTTAATGATTAATACCCTGGGTCTCTCCCAGCGAGATCTGTGGACTGGGGCCCGGTGAGGCTGCAGGCAAAGGGGCTGAGCAGGGTGTGAGCTGGAGGGGTGCCAGGACCACACCAGGACTGGAGGGGCTGGGCTCGGGGCTCCTGGTGGGAGGTCGCTGTGAGTGCCAGCAGCGTGTTGCTGCAGACCCCGAACAGGACGGAGTTGACCACAGCTATGCTCGCAATGGGGAAGCTCATTCCCTTGAAAAAGCCCAGAAGCTGTAGAAAGACATGGCGACCCTAGGGCAAAGGGGGCCTCCTCTTTGCCCTTCCCATCTCTGGCAGGGTCTCCTCTGGCCGGAAACCACTCCTGAGCCCTGCCGAAGGGAGGCTGAGGCAGGCTGAGGCTGGGGACAGCCTCAGGTCCATCCTTGGGGCACTGAGCTACCACCCAGCCCCCAGGAGGCCCCGACTTTGGTCTTCTCTCTTCCAGCGGCAGAGAGCCCTGCCGGGGAGAAGAAAACTGCTGCTGACCACCCAGATGCCTCCCATGCCAAAGCCCCAAAGAAGCAAGACACCCACCGACTCATGGCGGTAAGTCTTAACCATACAATCGATGATGCCCTGGTATGTGGTCTGGGTCTGTAGCCGCACCTTGGGGAGGAGGACAGAGCAGGCAGCCCCGTAGGGGCGGGCAGGGATGGCTCCAGCCCCGTTCCTCCCTCTGCCCAGCAGGATGCCAGCAGGGCAGGATTGATAGGAAAGATCCCCATCAGCCAGGCCCTGCTCTCAAGGCATCCTGACATCTGGTTCAGGTGACATCCTTCATTCCTTGGGTGCCTCCCCTCGACTCACCTTTACAGTGTCAAAAGGGTGTCCCAGGACCAAGCCCAGAGCTCCTGCGTGATAAGAAGATGCTATAAGTGAGGCCCCTTGCGCCTGTCTGAGGAGAGGGGGATTCGGGCAGGAGAAAATGAGGCCAGGCCTTCCCGCCAGACTCCAAAGAAACTCCCTTTGCATCCTCCTCCACACCAAGCGCTGGGCTAGGAAGGTGTGGGGACAAGGGGACCATGGAGAGGGCCTTGGCCGTGCCCAGAGGACACCCAGGCAGAAGGGAGGAGCCAGCCCCAGACGCGGTGTCCTCACAGAGTCCAGCACTGACCATCCTGCTTGCTTACCCAACTGTGGGGCCGTGGGACAGATTCTCCAGTGCTCCTGCCTGCCTGCCCGACTCCTTCCTTCCTTCCACGCATGACTGCTGTTGAGTACGGGGCCTTGATCCAGACCAGGCCCTGCCCTCCCAGCACTCTACCCCCTCAGCCAGCAGTACGGAGCTGGGGGCCCTATGGGCAGTCTTGCTGGCACCCGGGGAGGAGAGCCCAGCCCCCAGGCCACCTCCCCACCTTCCGATCTTGCCCTCCATAGCCGTGCTGGCCCTGGAGTCTTGGGCGAGGTCACAGCCCCAGGAGGCAGGTTTGGAATGACCCTCTCATTCTTCTGAGAGAACTGTCAGCCAGAAGCTGGGCTGGGTCCACAACACAGCAGGCCTCCGCGCCAGGACATGCAGCCCATCGCAGGGTAGGGCAGAGGCCCTGAGGGGAATGCAGGACAGCTGCTGGGGTCAACAGTGGAATTGCTTTCTGAGCCCCACGGGGTGGGCCTAGAGAGTGGGGTTCACGGCGAAGGTCTGCAGGTGTGTCTGGGAGAGGGCTCACCTTGGCCCTGCAGGTGAGGACAGCGTGGCTTAGGGACCTGCACCTTCCTCCCCGCGCCCCTGAGGCAACTGCCAGGAGGCATGGGGATAGCTGGTCTGGCGCTCCAGAGCCACCAGGGCTTTGGTCTCAGCTCCTTCTGTGTCCCCAGGCAGTGACCGACCGCTAGGGGGGATGTGACAGAAGGAAGAAAAACGTCTCACCAGAGATCCAGCCGGCCACAAACTCCTCCACGGGCATTGTCTGGCAGGGGCGGGAACTGGTGGCTCCGGAGAGGAGACGCTGGGGAGTGTCTGTCGGTCCCTGATCTCCCTCCCCCTCGCCCACCCGATAACCTTCCACTAAATGTTTAACTTGGCCTGGAGAATGAGCAGTGGCCCGGTGCCCAGACCTCGGCACCAGGAGAGGGGAGGGAGCCACCTTGGGTGGCCCTGACCCTGGAGGAAGTGTGTACGGAGTGTGAAATCTTCCGGGCAGGGATGATGGCCCGGTGGCCCGCCCCCTGCCGGCCAACGATGGCCTTGCAGCCTTGCAGCCCTGCAGCGGGACCAGGCAGGGCGGCCAGGCCCCAGCCAGCAAGGCCTTAACTAACCCTGCCTGCCCCACCTGGCCGGCCCAAACCCCCTCCGTCCCCACAGCGCCACCCACCAGGCTGCCGCCCGCCTGGGACAGGCGGCCAGGCCGGCAGAGATAGAGCATGGCCACCAGGGGCCAGGCCCTGCGCAGTCCCCGCACCCCAGGAACCCCCAGAGCCGACAGGGTGGGACCCCAGAGAGGAGTGACTCCCGGTCCTGAAGCCCTGCCTTCTCCCAGGGTGGTGTGCAGCTCCCCCAGCTCCCTTGTGTGAGTCACAAACAGCCTCCCTCGCTCGGCCTTCTCTTCTCCGGGCCTCCCTCCCAGGGGACAAGCCGGGGATTTGCGTGTATAAAGGGTGGCGGGTGTCTCAGCTCTGGGGTTATGAAAGCCCATTTCTCTTTGGACAACAACCCAAGCTGACAAGGCAGGGAGACCTGCATCCCTCTCTTTTCCTCTCTGCTTCCTTCGACCAACCTTCTGTGTGGCCAGTACACTAAGCGTGTTAGAGCGTGAATTATGATTCCACTCACCCATCGGCTCCTTACGAGCGGAGTCCGGTTAAATACGCTCACTCTTCCCTGTTTTTTTTTTTTAAAAGATTTTATTTATTTATTTTGAGAGAGAGAGAATGAGAGAGAACACATGAGAGGGGATAGGGTCAGAGGGCAAAGCAGACTCCCTGCCGAGCAGGGAGCCCGATGCGGGACTCGATCCAGGGACTCCAGGATCATGACCTGAGCCGAAGGCAGTCGCTTAACCAACTGAGCCACCCAGGCGCCCTTCCCTGTTGTTTTGAAAGTGATATTTTACATCATTTATAAATTCGTTGCATCTTTTTACAAATCAGATGACGGCTCACGCCCCGTGTTTCTCACACCTGCCTGGTACTTTTCTTTTCCCTGCTCCCGTCCTCTCTCTCTCTGCCTGAGAGGGGCCAATGGACACCAGCAGAGGCAGCAGGGGCTCTGGTGTCGTCCAGACTGGGGTTCCAACCTCAGCTCTGCCCCCCACCAGCCCAGTGATCCGTGGCAAAGCACATGCTTCTGAGGTTCTTTTCTCCCATGTCCTTTGGGAGGCTCTGGAGGTCATCCAAGGGGGCTTCTGGGGTGGGGGTGGGGTGGGGATGGGGGCGTTCATGCTCAGGATCACCTCCATTACACTTCAGTGATTCCTAGGCAGTCCCATGGACTTGGAGACAGGATGCGGATGGACGGGGATGCACACGGCGGGGGTGGTGTAGAGCATCAGGGCAGACCCGAGGATGGGGGCACGGGCAGGCCAAGTGCTGAGGCTGCTGCAGATGATGAGCGTCCGACATTAACAGAGTGTATGGGGGGGAGGCGGGTGCTGATGTAACCTGTTGTCTACATCCACGGCCACAGGATATTCTGTCAGATTCTCTTCTTAGGCATGCTGAGAAGTGGGGCCGGGGCACAGAGATCCAGGGCGCAGGTGCCACCGCCCATAGAAATCTGTGTGAAGGCTCCAATTGTGGGTGCCAACCCTTGGAGTCCCCCCAGCCCCCTCCCTCTGTCTCACACCTCACCACCTTCCCCTAAGGAAATTGTGTTAGTCTTGCCTTTGAAGCATGTCCCAAATCCCACCCCTCCTCGCCTCCTCCACTGCTACCGCCCTGGCCCAAAGCCACCGTGGCCTCCACCTGGATTCCTGCCTGGCCTCCACCTGGATTCCTGCCGGCCTCCCTGCCTCCGCCCCTGCCCCCTTCCAGTCTGTTCTCCACCTAGTAGCCAAAGTGATGCAGTTGAAATTTAAGTCAGACCATGTCTGTGCTCTGCTCCACACCCTGCAAGGGTCCCATCCTGCTCAGGGTGAAAACCGAAGTCCTTCCTAGGCTCTAGGAGCCCTCAAGGTGCAGCCCCACAGTCCTTTGACCTCATTTCTGGGCACGCCCTGGTCACTCTGTCCCAGCCACCCTGGCCTCCTTCTCTTCTTCAAACGGGCTCCTGCCTCCAGGCCTTGTTGGCCTGGTCTAGCCTGGATTCAAACTTGTCACCTGCCGGGCATTCCTGGTGCCCCTTCCCTGGCTCCTCCTCTTCTTTCTTCCATGGCACTCGTGACCTGCTGAAGTACCAGTAATTAACTTGTTGTCCGTCTGTGCTGGGATCTCTGGCTGTTTGTTCACTGATGTTATCCCGAAGGCTCAGCACAGCACGTAGCAGAGAATGGGCTCTCAATACATATTTGGTGCAAGAATGAATGAGTGGACAAGCGAGAGAGCAACATTAGCGGGCAGCCCTGCAGCCAGCCCTGGGTCTCCACTTCTCTCTCCCCATCTCCAAAGGGCCCCAAAGAAGGTGAAGTCCCAATAATATCCCTACCTGCCTCTCCTGATCTCGTGGCAACTCTTCGTTCCCCGTCAGATGCCCAAGGACCAATCCCACTCACCCTTCCGCTTTCCCACTGTGGCCAAAGTAGAACCCACTCACCACTACTTTCTCACGGGCAGACGGGTTTTAGGAAGCAAGGCTCATCTCTGATCTCCTCCTCCTAGACCCGCCCCGGGCTCCTTGGGCTGTCCCAGCGAACCCTCCTGAGCATGGCTTCTCACCGAGGGCTGGGCTGCAGTCCTCATTCTGCTGCTCACTCTCTCCCAAGGCATAGTGGGCAATCCCTTCTGTGGGCCTTGGGTCCTTTCCTGCTTACAAAAGCAGGAAATCAGCCCAGCTGATGGCTGAGTCTCAGGCCTCTTGGCTCTAAAGGCCTGATGACCGCCACCCTCACATCAGAATGAGCCCCACTCTCTTCTCTCGTCCCACCCCACCACCCCATTTCAAGGCAGACCCGCAACCCCTCCCTGGAGCCTTGCCAAAGGGCAGTCCCAGCCCGGGCTGGGCTCTCCTGCAAGTCCCACCAGGCCCATCTTCTGCCTGGCAGGGCAGAGCTCTGACCTTGTCCCCCCTAGCTCACAACCTCCAAAACCTCCTCGCCACCTGCCAAACCTACCACACACACACCCCCCGTGCCACCCCATCTTCACAGCCTCACCTGCTGTGCTCTGACTGCCCAGGGCTTCCCCGGGGTCCTCACCACAGTTCCCCCTACTGGAACACCTTCGGGAATCTCTTCCAGTGCCTCCCCCCCCCGCCACTGCACCTGGGTTCCAGGTTCCTTACCACCACTGTAAATACTGCCAGATGTTGGCTTTGTGGTTTGACCTTTCCGATCCTGTTTTCTCTACTGCACACCTCCTGGTGTGGTGTAAGAACTAAAGCACTTAGAAAAGAGTCTGGCACATTGTACATACACCATGAACGGCAGCTACTATTCCTGTTATTTCCACTCACAGGGACCCCGAGGGTGACATGAGGGGAAACAGGGGAAGGGCCTGGCACACAGTAGGGCTCAGGAATTGAGGACCCTTCTCTTCCTGCTTGTAGTTTTTCATAGCTCTGAAGGCAATTCTGTCATCTTACGTAGTTTTAAGCATGCATTTCTCGGGGCACCTGGGTGGTGCAGTCGGTTAAGCATCCGACTCTTGGTTTGGGCTCAGGTCATGATCTCAGGGTCCTGGAAGTGAGCCCCGCATCAGGCTCCACGCCAGCGTGAAGTCGACTTGAGATTCTCTCTCTCCCTCCCCTTTTGCTCCTCCCACTCATGTTGTCTCTCTCTCAAATAAATAAATAAAATCTTTAAAAGAAATTACTTAAAAAATAAAATAACCATGCATTTCTCCTGGCCTTCCTTCTTCCCCCTCTCTACCTCCACTCCCTGATTAAATCATAACTTAGCTTCCTCAGGGCAGGGCAGTGTCTCACCTGGGTCTCTGTCCCCTGCCCTAGGCCAGACCCCACACCCAGTAAGCACTCAACCACACTGAACTGTGTTCCCACTTTGATCCAGCTGGTTAAGGGAGGCCACCAAGCCATTGTGTCCTAGTCTGAGGGTCTCAGAGCTTAGAACCTGGAAGGAGATGCTTGTCTGTTTGTTTGTTTGTTTGTTTTGAGAGAGAGAGAGAGAGCACAAGCAGGGAGAGTGGCAGCAGGCTGAGGGAGAGGGGGAGAAGCAGACCCCTACTGAGCAGGGAGCCCAATGCGGGGCTCGATCCCAGGACTCAGGGATCATGACCTGAGCCGAAGGCAGACGCTTAACCAACAGAGCCACCCAGACACCCCTGGAGGAGATGCTTGTTATTGCACACTGTTCTCTCCAGCTGACATCTGAACTTCTTTGAGTCCTTAGTTCATGCAAGGAAGACATGTTGTAATGGGCTCAAGTGTGGGGTAGCATGGATTCTGGAGGGCAGGTAAAGAGCTGTTTATATTGAGGATACTTGGACTGGGTTAGGAGATGGGGCTGCCTTCCAATGCCAGGGAATAAGGGCAGGGTGAGCCCATTTCCCCTCTTGCTCCCCACCCCCATCCCTGATCATCCAGCCCATTGTTGTAGCTAGAACAACTTCTGGTTCTTCTGGCTCAGGAAGGTGCCCCATGGACCTGTTTTTCTCCCTGAGATCTACACCTCAGGCGTACACATGCTGGCGTTGCCAGGACATGTTGGTGACGTGATCCTGGGATAGGTGGTTTCACACCTGTTTCTTTCCAGCCTGGGAACGGCTCAAGGTCTCCAGACTGTGTGTCTAAGATAGAGAGGGCTCATGTGACTGCTCCTTGGAAAATCAAGTATGCCTGGCCTGGGTTTCTAGCATATAATTGGAGAGTCGCTGGAAGTCATTGAGTTCAACCTCTTCATTTTACAGATAGGAAACTGGGGCCCCGAGGAGAAGGGGCTTGTCCAGGCTGAGTCCGGCCAGGGACCCCCAGTCTTCTGACCACGGCGAAGAGTCTATCACCCCTCATGGCCCAGGCGCGCCTGCTGTACAGGCTGCTGCCTGGGT